CAAAACCTAGGAAAAACATAATGAAAAACGAATCTAAAAACTGAGTTTAAAATTCTGCACATCGCGGCCTCCGCGGCCGCGGAGAATCCCACGGGCCGCGGTGAAGAAAGCTCGCGGCCGCGACCATCCTTGAGGCCGCGGCATCATCTAGACAGAAGTGGGACTTTTGGGACCCTCGCGGCCGCGACCTCTCCTCCGCGGCCGCGGTGACTAAAACTGGGCGCCGATAGGTTTTGTTCACCGCGGCCACGAGGAGAGAGTCGCGGGCCGCGATGAAGGATTTTCTGAACAGCAAAATGTTCTCGGGTTCGTGTTCACGCATCCGGACTCGGAATTTAATCCCGTCTTTTCCAATTCGACCCCAACTCATCCATCTAGATGGTAATCCTCGCATGGTCACGCACCGCGCTACCTATCCTGCACATCACCACCGACAAGAAATACGGAAAACCGGGAAAAACGAACAAAAAGGCAAAAAACGAATAAAACAGGGGAAATGCACGAAACGACTCAAAATGGACCAAGAACCAAAGAAAAATACCTACGGAGGGAAAAAATAAACATAAAATAAACAAGAAAAACATGATGAAAATGGAACGAACAATGAAGATTCTGACACACAATATTTTATTCAATATTTAAATCTCGAATCTATCACACGCGTATCATACCTTCAGGGTATATAACCAATCGATTACCCAATACTTCGGGGACCAATTATACATTTGATGTATTTATCCACCAATATATCAAGTCCAAAGAAAACTCAACATACATGAAAACATAAATATTTTCAACGTTTATCACGATATATCTTTAAGAATATAAATAATAAATCTTTGCTAGCAAATTCATCGCAAATGTAGTATCAAGCGTGATGCAGTTTGCGAGATAAAATTTTATAACAATTACGCTTAATAAATAAACTTCAGGTCGTTTGTGGACTTCAAGTCCATTAGAACTTCAGGTCCTATAATATTCTCATTAGTTTCTTTGGATCTTTATAAATATTTGTCAAATTCTAAATATTTGACACTAATTGGTGTTATAATTTTACATCTCTAAAAAGAGATTCATTTAGAATGGTTGAGTCAAATATACTTATTCTAGTATATGCTCGATCTACAAGTCGAGATAATATTCTTTGGTATTTAACCAAGAGTTTTATTCTAACTCCGTCTATAAGCATGAGCTAATCTTTTATAGTGTTCACCACATAATCTATTTGACGAGATGATCATTTTGTATATTATCATTATACACAAGGTTCTACATTGAATTTCTTACTTTACTTCTTCAGGAAGAATTTCAACAATTTTATATAATTAAATGATATATTATTTAATTATCTTTCATCTCGGGTACTCTAATCCATTCAAGACTTTCACATATGACTCAATAGTCATGGTAACGTTACTGTCATAAATATTAACTTGCGGAATAATTGTTAATGAGAGAATTTTTTATAAAAATTTGGGTCTCTGCGTAAATCCATGAGCATAATCTCGCTATACTACATCACACCACCATATCAAATGTTTCATATAAATATTCATTATCCTTCTGGGACATGCTATCCTTCTGGGATATATCGTGTAGCGAGTGGAAGCTCTGCCTTTATTTACCTTTCTATCTCAATCAACCTACACGCTTCTAGCACTTTCATTATTTTGATCTGGATCATTATGTGAGATATTAATGAAATCATATAGACAATTATGTTGTCGACAACTATGATATTTAATTTTTATTCTCTCAACCATATGTACAACTTCATATTTCCTAGCCATATTTATAATCATTTCTCTTAACATTTAATTTTGGTTGTTTCGTATTTCCAGTACTATAATGGTTTGATGCACGTGCAAGATATGTTGGATTAACTCTTTAGGAGTTTCTTATAAAGAAGTGTTAATTCTTGAATAAATTTTCCGCGGACTTTCATACATCATATATTAATTATATCACCTTATGCTTCTAGCATTAAGGAGTCAATCATTCTCTAGAGAATTTATGTACTTTGTGGTACATATATATACAAATTGTTCACTCCATTATTACTATAAATTTCGTTTGGCAGAAATATAATATGAACTTCAAGTTCAAATTTTATTGCGTGGTTTCAAATAATGAAAACATTAATATTCCACATATTTCACGACATTTATGCTCATATCTCCCCCTAATACCGTGAAATCATTTTCATATATTATGCAAAATACGTACCAAATAATATATTGATCCCCTATAATGATCTCTAGGTATTAAAAATTTGACGGAGTATAAAAATTATAGAAAACCTAGTTTATAATATAGGCTCATAAAGGTACGAATTGGTGGTGACATAAGATTGTGCATAATAATAATAAATCGCAGATGGAAAATGTTCTATTTTCCACGCACCATTTTGGGGAAAAATAATTGCCCAATATTATCCAATGATCATGCTAATTATCAGATATATAAGTTGGGCATCGAGTTATAATAATTTATTTCTAAGTGAACACCATATGCTTCAGGCACTATAATCGAACGTTAGTTGTGAGCCTTTTATTGTAGCTATCAATAATATTATGTGCTTGGGGCATTACATATAATTTTATTATTGTAGCTATAGACAATATATTCAATAGTATGCATCTTATCAAATATACAAGTAAATATAAATAATTTGAGAAAACTCGTATATCTATTCAATTTTTGTAACATTCTGGTTACATGCCTTCATTAATAGTATATTGAATATGAAAAACTGATCCAAAATCAAAATATAATGAATTTATCTAAAATTCAACGAGATTATTTACTAGATTAATCTTTCAAAGATACTCGCTAAATAATTCTTATGCAATTGTGATACTGGTCAATAGGACCAATCCTTCATGGATAACCAAATCTAGTTCTGTATTTAAATTTACTAGTGATACTTTTAATTATGTAATCCTTCAGGAAAACTCAAATTTATAGGCATAATATTCAACATAATTTTTTCTCTGCAATTCATGACATAAATAGAAAATAACTATAAAAGTTGCATACCATTAATTTGGTTCACTAGTCAATTAGATTAAAGTTCAATATATCCAAATTGATTTAGGCTCAATAAATTTGGACCAATTCCATAAAACAACGAAACAAAATATGCAACTATAATTTCCAAAATAAATTCATTTCGTAATTGCATATTTTGATATCTACACTATATGTATTCCAAACAACATATATAAGTCACATTTTAATATTTATCCATATACGCTTCATTCATTTTCAGATGCATGAACAAAATAATAATATATATGTGGACTTTTTTATTTTATAACTCTTTCAGGAGTATAACAAGTGAAGTATGATAGAATTCATAAATTATATAATATTTTTCATCTAACATTGAAAATAATCTTTATCTAAAGGAAAATGTCTACTGGACATATCATATATGTTACCATTTTCAAATCTTAACAATTTATGTTAAGAATAATATGATACATTATTAAACAAGATATACTCATAAATAAGGACAATTAAATCAAGAAAATATATAGTCTTATATAAGATAATTTTCTATCATATATCTATGTGATAAATTATACTTTTGTACATGTGCTTCTGGCACTATATATTTCATATCACATGGATAAATCCATAAATATTCGCATTTTCATTCTTGAACTAGTTAATAATCAACCAAAATAAATTATATCTATAATAGTTTCAAGATAAAAACTCTTATAAAATTAATATCTTGCAAATGGTAAAAAAACTAACCTGATCATTATGTATTTTCTTTCGCATAAACTCTATTTATTAAGATATCAATGCCTCAAACTCGATCTTCACAAAATACAACATTAATGCTTAGATTTAAGAAAATTACAAATACAATCATTCATTATTCAAAGCGATTAGAACGGCTAATAAGAAACACATTAGAAAAAAAACCTAATACATAAAATATAAACTCAGCAGTATGATACAACATCATAAAAGTTCCTAAAGCGTATATAATAACCAATATAATGGTAATTATGAATAATAGATCAAACATTTTTTTTTTATTGAGGAGAATATATTTTAATATTTTGGAGTGAGTGTTAATACATGAAGTGAAGTGTTATATATATAGATTGATAAATAGCCGTTGCAAAATAGCCGTTGGATTTTTTTTTTTTTTATTTTATTTTATTTTATTTATAAAAACACATTATTGATATAATATTTATTAATTATATCATTCATGATTATAAAATTATAATTAATCATGCATATTATTTTAGAATTTCTCCGAGTTACTAGGTGAACATTTTTAGTAAATACAAGTAACAAAACAAATAAAAATGTAACTCTACACTACTCGATAATTCTTTCGGTGAGTACACTTACTCGATAATTCTTTCGGTAAGTATACTTACTCGATAATTCTTTCGGTGAGTACAATAATAAGTAGTTATAAATTTCACTCCACACTACTAGGTTCTGTGGGTATTAATTACAAGTAATAATATTATGTATTTTTATTATAACATGAAGTTTTTTTTTTTCAATTATTAGTAATTCATAAGTAAATATATTCTTACCTTTATGACCGGGTAGAGCGCTCGTGCTGATAACGTGTTATAAAACAAGAGAAATAGAGAGAATATAGAGAATTCTTTCTCTTGGTTGTTTTTTTCATTATAACTGAAGCTCCTATTTATTGGAAAACTTCAAATGGCAGAATCGTAATAATACAATTACATCAAGAACAAAATAGTCATTCATATATATAAAAATATTAAAAGTTGGTGTATTTGTTACACCTAATATCTAACATTTAATTTTATAACAAAAACTAACATAGGTGTAGATATTGAGTGCCAACAAAAGAAAATCAATTGGGGAACTGAACCCAAATACTCAAGCCAGAACTTGGCCGAGTTGGAACGAAGATTATAGTATTTTGGAAATATATATTATATATATAGTATAACTATTTAGCTTGCAACTGATCACAACAGAAAAGAAACCACAAAACTTATCAAACATCATTACCCATAACCAATATCTTCCAATAGGGTTGTTTATACATTTTCAAATGTTAAAACATGATCCTGAAAACATATATCAACCCATTACACATGTTCCTAAAAGAACAATTGGTGTCTTGAATAAATCAGATATTCTGATAGAAGAAGCAACATCAACAAAATAGTCCACTCTTTAAAAAAAAATAAAAATGGATGCACTTTAAAGATCAATCACACGAGATAGCTTCTGAATACGGTTCAATAAGAAATCCCCCTGCTTGATGGTTGACTGGTAAAGGGCATTTTTCGCGTCCGGACGATTGGTTTCTAACACACCGGCAACTTTGTCTATCTTGCAATGTAACTTCCCAGCTGCAATAAACCGAGACAGCTCCCTGTAACAGATGAGAACTCCACTAAACACTCAAATACCATAAAACAGGCTACAAAGTACCATTTATTACACAATGCACATTTTTTAACTACTCACACATCAATGAAATCCACTGTGACTCCAAATGCTTTAGCCATAGCTTCAATAGTAACACTCTTGTAGGATTCTAAGAACTGGGAATAAACTACAGTTCTTATCTCCCTCATGTAGTACCGGAAGTGTGGATGCAGATAGCGGTCCAACTTAATATGCTCGGTCAAGCCAGCTTGAACAACAAAGTAGGAAAGTGTTAAAACATTGGTAACTTTAGCTAATAGAACAATTTGAATCATAACATTTTAATTCTAGAAACATGTAATCCTTCAGAGGGCACTTACCAAAAGCGGTGAAAAATGATTTATACTGACAATCATAAAGGGAGTTCAGAAAGTCTGACAAATATGGGATTTTGCCAATAACGGTCAATATCTCTGGGGCATCCACCACCTGCCAGATATATAAACCACATGCAAATGTTGTTGAATAATAATTTTGGTTCTTCCAGGAGTGAAAAAGAATGAAAAGGACACATACAAATATGTGTTTTGAATCTAATTAAACAAAGACCATTTTAGAAGAAAAATAGCTTACACATTACCTTTTGTTTCAAGGAAACTCTATCCAAGGATATGATGCTAGTAAGAACAGTGTAAAATATGAAGGTGTCATAAGGGAAGAGCTCGTAGGTTGTGAAAGTTGAAATGGAGTCGAGAAAAAGAGTGGCGGCTTTTTTGAAATTGCGAGTAGACATGCAGAATAATCCCTCATACACCTTCAAACGGTTCTTTCTCTCCCAGTCACCCCCCTCTTCAAACAAGCTGTGGATATTAAAGTCAGGACCAAATTCTAAGATCTAGTTTGTAGAAGTAGAACATAGTTGGAACTATCAAAGAACAGCTTATGTATAGAACCTTACTTCTTTGCTTTGTCAATGCTTTTAGAGATAAGATCGAAGTCCATATGGAAGAAACCAATCTGTAGAGTGTAGAATACCAAATCCATCTTTTGTCCAACCGCAACTGTTTTGCTCTCGGTTATCTTTAGTTGATCCAGCGCCTTCTCCTGGATATTTAAATATACTTAATTGACATTCAATAAATAAATATAGTGAAAATGGATAGAATGGAAAGTTATGTGTACCTTGTCCCCAATTCGAATGTAAAATAAGGATTTGGCTAAGTGAGCTTCCCTAACTTCACTTTCACCCAAATTTTCTTCTGCATCAGCAATCCTAGATGAATTCGAAAGCAGAACATAAGCATGAAAGCAGTGGATCACTCAGTGTGCTACATGTTGAGAAGCACTGAAGATATTTATCCATATTCTCGCATACTTATGAACTTGTATGATGAACAAAAAGTTTTTGCCTAAAACCAACCAACTGAGAAAACCATAAGAATAAAATAAAAATGCTGACAAGTAGCTTTTCACAATCCATAACAAAGATTGCAGGCTGCACATGCAGTGATACTAATTTTACTTTAAAGGTTAACCCATGGGAAAGTGAAAAATAATAATATGATGTGGGCATATCTAATTTTTCCTTCAAGCATAATGAACAAAAATGATAAAAAATACATGCTCGATTTTAAAAGTGATAAACACAGATAATGCCCACATCAGTTTGCAGTGACAATAACTAACCACCCATTAAATTTAAAGGTACACAAGTCACAATATGATGATAAATTTCCATGGAAAAGGCAATCACTTTTGAGGTCATTGCACATCTCTACAATTCTTGAATTTACAAACTTAATTTCTCTTCTCATTTTCAAAAAACCAATCTCTTAATTGTTTCAGATCAAGTGATTCATTAGCCAGAAAGAATGCAGTCGGTGAAGATATTGGATACCTATATAAAATTTTTGCAACTCAATGGATGACAGAATCATCAGGGATTTGGCCATTTCAATCTGTACCTGTAACTCACTAGAGGCCCAGGAAGAAAAGAGATGCGAAATAACTAAGAACGAAAAACACCACATCTATATCTTAAGAACTAAGCCACTGCATACAGGTTACCGTGATGAACAACTCTTTCAAGATTCAGCAACTAGACGATGACACAAATTAATACCCACAAAAGCAGTTTGCACTTCCCCATATTCAAAAGACAGGAGTTTTTTTAATTATTTATCACGACTTGTAAAGATATACAGTGTTATGCCAGTGTGGGATTAAACCCATTCATCGCGAGCTAAAGTACCATACAGCTATGAAGAGATCCAATCCCTTGTTGGTGTTACACAAAGCCCAAGATCTTGGGCCAAAGGACTACATTGTTATCTAAAAATACTCCAGTTCAGCTACTATTTTAAAAGGTTACTCAAGGATGATTTTCAATATGCCTTGCATATAAAAGGTAATCAAGTAGAATTCACAAAATACCTAAAGGCAAAAATACAATTCCATCCTACACAAAGTCAACAATTTACCCATTCAGAACTGTATCTATTGTATCGGGAAAAAAAAATGAATAGAGTAACAGGGAACAAGGATTTCAGCAACACACATAGAAGCATATGAATATGATCTACTAAAAGGGAAAAAAAGAAACTAGCCAGGCAAGCAAAGAACAACTCACTACTACAACCACAAATACCACAAGCTTCATTAGATAATAACTTTATCAACAAAATAATCGCATAATTCACAGAAATCTCACATCGCAGCTCCCTGGTTTATTAGATTAGCTTCTGAAATGGAACTAAAGGTTCTATCAATTAACCAAATTTGAAACTCACTTCTCTTCGAGCTTCTTTAACTCGTCATTTATCTTTGAACGCATCGAATCGAGCGCTTTCTGATCCAGATCCAAAACTTTGATTGCAACTAATGCTTCGTACAGCGGCGCCATATCTGCAGATACCGAAAATAACAAAATATCAAATACTATTTGCAAGCTAGCAGCACGAATTTAAGCAAAAGAAAGATTGAAAAAACAAATAGGTACCGTTGGCGAGGATGAATTGGAAGACCTCATCTCGAAGGCGGACCTTTTCAATGTCATCAACGTCGTTTTGAGTGAGCAGGAAGAGCTTGTTTGCAAGCACAAGCTGCGGCTGCTGTGTTCCCTCTTCACCTTCCATAGCTCAAGTTTTCTTCTTTCTTAATCTCTATCTATCATTCAACGGATATCGGATATCGAATTGAGAGCTTGCTTGCGGAGGGAGACAGGGAAGAAGGGTTTTAAAGTCGGGAAATGTCTATTGGTTATTGGGCCTCAAAACTTCAAACACGCTTTCAGTGATTATGGGCCATAGCAACGCTATTAGCCCACTTTTTATTTTGATATATTATTTTTTTTCATTTTTTTTAATCTATAACTATATAATAACAATAAGAAAAAATCAAAAAATAGTATGTTAATTTCCCGCTCATTTTTTCGGTTTATACCATTAATGGAATGATTTTTTGAAATTTTTGGGATTCTTCTGCCCATGTTTTTGATTTTTTTTTGTGGCTGAATTTTAGTACTCCGATTTATAAGCGGCTGAATTTTAGAAATAAGAAAAAATTTGTGCGGCTGATGGGTCTACTTCCAGATTTAGAGTGAACCGGTGGATATGAGATCCGATCTGTTCAAACCGCCTATAGACTGTCGCAAACACCTACAAGAACTCAACGCCGAAAGTGTTTCTGGCATAGAGCCTCCGACGCTCTATTCAGTATCAAAAAGAGATGAAAAGGCTCTGCTCAGAGAGAGCAGCAGCAGTAGGAAGAGGAAAATGGTATAGAGAGTGAAGAAGTTAGGGTTTAGGATTACCTCAGCCCCTTTATATAGAAGGAAGTACCTACTTGAAGTACCCAAAATGCCCCTGAAGAAATTCGTATCCAATCACCTCTTAGTCAGATCCAAGTCAACTCAAGATTCCTTCTTATCTAATAAAGATTCACCCTTATTCAGGGGACTTGTTAGGAGATGCCGAAGTGTCGCGGGTCGTCATACGCTGTAGGCCTCGAGTAGTAAGAAGTCGACCTCGAGTAGTAAGAGGTCATCTTGAGGGCTTATGTGTAGTGATATATCCGGAAGCTCTTACCACTTCTCTTCGAATAGTTCTCATCTTCTTGATAGAGGTCGACTTTGAGGTCTTCCGCCTTGGTGTAGATGGTTTGCGGGAGTGGGCCTTAGCATGTCGACTTTGGGGAAGTCGACTTCCACTAACGTGATGGCATATAAGGAGTCAACTTAAGCATGTCGACTTAAAGGTGTTTTCCCCTATCGTGGTGTCATAGGGAGTCGACTTGAGATGTGCTGCTTCAATCGTCATATATGCGGCTCGACTATCTAGTCGAGTCATTGGTACTTAGACCGGTATATGATAATATGGCTATATCATCTAGTCCCCCCCAAAATTACTCTAAGCGATCTCGAGCTTAAGAGTAAATTTGGCGGTTAGATGCTCCTCAGCTCTTAATTGTTATCCTTTCCTCGGTGTCGAGCTTCCTCGAGGTGTTTTACTCGACTTGTATCTGTCATTCTTGTTCAACTTCAACCGCGATATCTGGCTCAAGTCGTCATGCCAGTGACTCGTCTGGCTTCCATATCCAGTTCTATAATCTAATTCCACACTTAGGATCTTTTAGATATTTTTGACATCTCTCTGACATCTTTTTGAATTTTAAAATTTGAATTTTGGAATGATGCGTCGTTTCAACTTTTGCCTCTACCAGTTCTGTGTCCCATGAGAGCCGTTAGATCTGGCTTTGATCTAAGGGTCCATATCTCACAGTCTTACATATAAATACCTTTCAACCCCTAAGTCAACCACTTTTCGTAATTTCTCAAACTCTCTCAAATTCTCTACGATTCTTCGACAATCTCGGTACTTTCGGCTTCATCGGTGTTCTTCTTATTTTCCGACGATTCTTCGGGTTTTCCAGAACTTCCCCAGCGAGACATCATGTGTAAATTCCTTTTTAGTTTCTGCAAATTTTTCACTTTTCTGGGGTTTTTGATGTTGATGTTCAAAAGTATTCCTCATGTTCTTCGTGCCATTTTACGATCTTCATATGTTCTGGTAATTTTAGTGTTAGATCTTCAACACTTGGATTTTGTCCCGATTGCCCGTTTTTGGAGAGTCGACTTGATATCTTAAGTCGACTTTCAATGTCATACCACCTCATGTTGATTTGATAACCATTGTCTTATCAAACCGCTCGTCTTTGGCTCTTTGTTTCTGACCCTTCCTTTTTAACACACCTGAATAAGTCGAGCTTATGTATTCTAATCGATTTGGTGATTCTTTTGAGGTCGACTTGTGGGAGTAACTTTCCATAAGTCGATGCATCCTCGCATTTTGTACATCTTTAGTGTTTAGTTTGTACTTAGTGTATTGATCATCACTTTTTCTTTTAAAATTTTCACTAGATTCCGACTCCGATTTTTCTTCTGGCTCTCTCGCTCATCAGATCGATCAGTACTCGAGCTCTGATTCTATTCAAATAATCGACTTTGGGCTGGAGGTCGAGCAAGGAAGCCCTGCTCACGATATCAATAACTCTTCCGACGGAGATGTCGATTGGGATGCATATAACCAAGCCCTCTTGTCGGGTGGGCTGGCTGTTGAATTCTGGAATTCTCCTCGAGTCGAGAGCCCTCCTCGTCTAAGCCTCATCCCTCAAGGTATTCTTCTTAGGTTTTTGGACATTCCTGTATATAGAACAAGTCATGTACCTTTACCAATAATTTCTCCTATCGTCGAACCTCAAAGTGTTGTAACATTAGCATGTCCATTAGTTAAGTTAGTTGTTCTTAACCCTTTTTCTTATGCCCCTGCAGCCGAAATCGATGGCTTCAGGGATTACAGTGGACTTCCTTTCGATTGGGAATTAATCGCTCCAAGTCCCAGCGACGACTGTAGACATCCTCCTCTTGGTTTTTATACTTTCATTGTCGACCAAATAATGTTTGGCTTGCGTTTTCCCATCCAGCACGAGCTGTTTTCTATTTGAAATCTATACAATGTACCCATAAATCAATTTACCCCCAACTCTATTCGTATAATGGTGGCCTTTATTGTTCTCTCCAAAATAAAATTAGGTAGCTTCCTACCCGCGTTTTTTCTTTATTGGTACGGGTATCGATTTGTAAAAGATGCCCACTGTCTGGGTCGTCGCTCTGAGGTGACTTTTCTCAATGATCTTTCCTCCAACGTCACCGAATGGAAGTTTAAGTACTTCTTCATTCGTCCTGCTCCCGGTCAATATCCCTTCACAAATGTTTGGATCACTAGCAAGGTCAAACAACGAAAACACCCTCGACCCGATCAGTTTGCTGCTATGCTTGACAAACTTAATGAGTTCACTTGGAGCACTCATCAGGTGATTAGGGATCGTGTTGACTGTAGCCTACCAATACATCACATCTATTGGGATTGGGAGAGATTTTGATCATACAAGTGAGACACAAAAACCGCCGCCCCTTTTGTGCTCTCTTTTCTCTTGTGTTCTCTTCTTCTTAGTCTCCAAGTAATCCCAGTAGAGATATCTTTGATTTCATCGCCCACCAAGATGATCGGAGAAGATGTTGGGTCATACAACAGAAGATCTGAGGTAGTCGAGCGATATATATATAATTATCCAACACCGTAATATATATATATATGTATATATATATACATATATATATATATATATAACCAACCCCATAATTTATCTGTAATTTGCGGGGTTGTCCGTTCTTCATGAAAAGCGAAAATGAAGTCAACTGGATGTATTGGAATTAACTGCTTATCAGAGTACTT